TCACTGTACTCTTAGTGTTGATGTGTTTGGTGTCGGATGTGTTGAGTGTTGAACTGACATTTGAATTGCCAGATAATGCCAAACAGTGCTTCCATGAAGACATCCGACAGGGCGTCAAATCAACCGTCGAGTTCCAGGTATGCATCCATTGCTGACATCACTACCATTGCCACCATTGATACCATGTGTGTGTTTTTGACAGGTGGTGACGGGTGGTCACTATGACGTGGATATGATACTACAGGGCCCTCGAGGGGATGTGCTGTATCAGGGCGTCAAGAAGCAGTTCGACACATTCACGTGGACGCCATCGGCCACCGGCACCTACACTGTCTGCTTCAGCAACGAGTTCTCAACATTTAGTCACAAATTGGTTTACTTCGACTTCCAAGTGGGCGAAGAACCGGCACTTCCCGGCACTCAGGAGCACATGACTGCCATGACTAAGGTATGACTCATGACTGTGATTGGGTGGTGTATGTGAATGTCAGTGTCTGTGTTGATGTCTTGTCAGATGGAACAGTCTTCGGCGAACATTCACGAGAGTCTCAATACGATGATCGACGCGCAGACCCATTACCGGCTCAATGAAGCGAAGGGCAGGAAACGCGCCGAAGACCTCAATAACCGAGTCTTGTGGTGGTCTCTCATCGAAACCAGTGTTGTGTTACTCATAGGCGTCTCGCAAGTCATGGTTTTGAAGAACTTTTTCACCGATAAGAAGATATCGGTGTCCAACACATAGTTATATCAATCAATTAGTAGTCCATTGAATGTTTGCAATATTCGCCAGTAATTCAAATCAATTCAATTTTCAACGTCTATTCAAGTGCTGTACATAAGAATGACTGCAATTTTGATAGTTTTGCCCAAAAATATTTATGTAAAGTATTATTCAATGATTTGTTTGCATATATTTACCAAACCTTAATACATAACACATTATACCGTTATATGAATGCAATAATAATGAATATTTTATTAAACAATCAAATCCTATTGTATTTAAGGGCGCATCCAATCATGTGATGCCCTGTCATATATCGGCGCCGGTATTAAGTGTGGATCTGATTTGTAAATGAGTACTGATTTACATACTTATTCTCATTAATCACAATTTTAATAATTCTTGTAATCAACAATAAAAGAGTTTTTT